AAAGAAAATATATAGGCTGGAGGGGTGAAAGCGTGGAATGGGAACATGGCATGGAGTTTTGAGTTTTGTTTCTGCTATCTCTCCCCCTCCCTGGGGAGCTCCCGTCTGCTCGGTCCCGTCTCCTGTGGATGCACGAGGGAGCCAAGTAGCAACATGACCAGGTAGATAATTAATCATCCCTCCTCTATTCAGCCCACAGCCTCCGTACTCTCCTCAGCGCAGGGCGGACCTCACGAAGCCAAAGGAGGCACCACATCAACATCACCTCCTCCGCCCTGCTTTCTGCCGCCACTGCTGCCGCTGCTGCTACCGTGCCCTGCATCATCAGCGTCCCCTCCCTGACCAGTCCAGGCCCCACCCCTCTGTGGTTTCGGAGCACACGCGGAGGTACGAGCTCCCAGCGGCATGTCCCGATCACGGAGCACCTGCACAGGGCCCAGGATTCGCCTCGTAACACGGGCGGGAAAGGAAAGGAGAGGAAAGGAAAGGAAGGAATCAACAGGTACATGAAGACGAGGATTGACGGTGATATTCGAGAAAATTATCACGTCACAGGAATTCTTTAATTAATGTCAATAAGTTAAGAAGCGATTGGTGGAAGGTCATGAAATCGAATTTCTATCCACCGTCACCCTTGAACGCCACCGCTGCAAACAACAAGTTGTGGCGCCGTTGATCCGCTAGATTTGGTTGGATGCTGGTGGTGAGTTGCTGAACCCAAAGAGTGCATCCTGAAGTAGGATGGGGTGATCGGATTAGGGTGTCCCTCTCGCAGGGGAGAGCAGGGAATTGCCTCGGGAAGGAGGCCGCTGGGGAAGCTGTACCACCCTGTAACAACATCAAGATGTGCCTTCCAGGAAGGAAATGCGGGCGGCCAGGAAGGAAATGCGGGCGGCCGACGCAACAGACAAAGCCAGTGTGTCTAAGTCTCGCCATCTTATTGAGTACCGCGCGGCATTTTCCCCTGCCTGCCTGCATCACTGACATACCACTAACGGCTGCAGAATCCCACACCATACATACATTTCAAACACACACACACGCACACATATACACACACATTCTATCCCCATCCCCACCCAATCACCCGCCGCCGCCCACTGACCCACCTGGGGCGATTCCAGATCCTCCTCCGCCTCTATCCCCACCACATCCACCTTCACCTCCGGCCCCTCGGGAGCACGTGCACGTTGGTGTCCGTGTTCCCCCCCAGGGGGGCCCTCAACACCCGGGATCCCACCGCCGCCGTTCCAGACACCATCACCACCACCACCACCACCACCACCACCAGCCCCTGGTGTTGCGGCTGTATTTTTGTCCGCCGCGGGTGGAGCCCATGGATGTGCGGGGGGGGGGAAAGGGAGTTGGATGCGATGGTCAAGAGAGGAGCTGATGGTCGGATGGGGTTCTAAGCAGAATGGCCCCAGCGGAAGAGGACTGCGCATTACAAGAGGCAATAGAAAGCATTCGCAGCTGGCTTGGCCCACGCGAGGTGAGGGGACGTACAAAACAACATACAGACTGGCCACACGGGTTGTGGGGGATGGAGGGGTGTGTGTGTGTGTGTGTGTGTGTGTGTGTGTGTGTGTGTGTGTGTGTGTGTGTGTGTGTGTGTGTGTGTGTGTGTGTGTGTGTGTGTGTGTGTGTGTGTGTGTGTGTGTGTGTGTGTGTGTGTGTGTGTGTGTGTGTGTGT